ATCGTATTTTTAATATTTATACCTTCCTATTCGCGCCATTTAATTTTTTGCTAATCTACGTATTATATGTTAGATAGATGATAAATACGATGCATTTAATAATACGTCAATATAACATATTTAATAATATTAATTAATAATATGTATTATTGTAAATAACATATTAAATAACATATTAATTTTTGTACATATATTTTAAATTGAAAAAGTACTTTACATGATTTTTTTTAAAAATAATAAATTATTATCATCCATATCATATATAAAAATTTATTATTTATTATCCATATCATATATAAAAATAATTTAAAAAATATATGTAAATAATTAAATAATTAAAAATAAAAAATATAGTTTTAGAAATTACAACATGATTCATGATTAATTTTGATTTTCATGCAAATATTTGAATCCATCTAAGATGTCATCTTTATATTTATAATTTCGAAATGCTATTTAAATTTCAATTTATTTGCATTAAATATAGATGTATATTATTCTTTTTACGTTAAAATATAATATTGACATTGACGATAATATACTATATATATTTATGACATAGATATTAATATTAATTATATGACGCATATCATATAGATTATATTAGTTACAGATGAATTCAATTGTAATACATTTTATTTTCGTATATTACATGAATTTAATTTCACTGAGAAATATAATTATTAGTTATATATAAATCAATATTTATTATATATAACAATTATATATCTATAAAGTTTTTTAAAAGCTTCTTCATTATAGAATATTTCACTTAACCTGAAATATCTTTAATTAAAATTCCATAAAAATTACATAATATTATAATTAACGAATACAAATTTTTTCTAGTATTTAATGAAATCATGAATCATGCATATATATTTAAATTAAACATAAATAATATTTTGCTTGATAAACATAAAATACCATTGACATTATATATATATATATATATATAAAACAGATTAAAATCTAGATTAATTGTATTGGAAAGGACAAATATCTAAATGTTAAGTACAGCTTTAAAGATCAAAGGTATACTGTTTAAATAATTATGTGATTTATATTATTATATACAATTCGCAAATATCAATTTAGGATAATGATAATTATGAAATGCAAAAATAAAAAATTGATAGATGTATAAAATACGAAAATATTCCATTATTTGAAAAAAACTAAGAATTATTTCTTATCTTAATCTCTTTGTATACATTAATAATTAAAATTATATATATATAATATATATAATATAAAATATAAAAATAAAAAAAATATAATTTGATTTATAATTATAGATTAGTAAAAAAAAAAAAGAAAAAGTTTTTGAAAAATTGAAGAATTTTACATCAATTTTGAATATACATAATATTTTTTTTAAAAACGTTTATGATCAAAGGATTTTTCTTATTATATAATTTGATTAAAAAATTAAATCGCATATGTAATTTAGTCCGATTAAAGTTAAACATTGCCTTCGCACAATTTGCTCTATTATATTCATATTTCAAAAGAATACAATTATTTTTATATAATTATTATCGATTTATAATTATAATAATTCATTAAAAAATATAAAATATGAATATTGATATTCATAATTAAACGAATAATTTTTTTATTCTAAAAAATATTTTTTAATAATATTTATAATAAACATATTTAATTAATATCATAGTTTAACGTCATAATTAATTATTTATATATAAAGGATTAATCTTTCTATAAATAGTTTTCAACTAATATGCAATTTATATAATGATTTAAAATAATTATAATATAAATTAATAATAATTATATATAATATTTTTCATGTAAAAGATTGTAATATAAATATATAGTAAAAGTTTTTCATGTAAAATATGTATTTTTATTATTTTTATACATAATAAATAAAAATATGCTAATATTTTTATGACAATACTAATTTTATTATTGATTAAATTCATATTACTTGATTCTAAACAAGTTAATAAAATAGACAAGATCATTTTTCACATATTTTTTGATGATTATAAATTCTATTTGTCAAAAGACAAAAAAACAATGCGTAATTATAATCGATCAATTAATATACGTTTATTTACATCTCCACTTACAGCTTTCTTCCCTCCAAAAGTGTATGTCAATAATCAAATACATGTCGCACATACATATACATATATCAATAGTCATTTAAAGTTTAAAGTGGAAAAATAATAAAGGTAATTTCATTAAATGAATTATTTATAAACGAAAACATATAGTTTAAGAAATTATGATTTTAATTGTGATAACTGTCATAATATTCCACTTTAAGTTTGATTTAGATATTTTGTTCAAGTGTCAACAGGAAATGAATCAAAATTTCTCTTCCTACCTTTATATTGCTTCTGCACATCCATCATGGTTATTGATGTAGCGTTTACGTAAAAATCACTATAATTTTTGTGTTTGAAGTCAATGGATCACATTTGCCACAGCATACATGATAGTCGATAAACGCAGACGGTTGATACTGGCAAATGCGCCGTAGCACCAAGCGAGTACTTCCAGCATGAAATAGGTATATATATATATATATATATAATCATACACATATACATTATATATATATATATATATATATAATGCACTATATACATATATACTTTCATACGTACTTACTATACGTTTTTTTTTATATATACACATATATGCACATATATATGTATATGTACATACATACATATAAATATATATGTAATAAATTATTTTTTATGTATATAGAATGAAATTCTATGTAATCTAATATGTATATGTGTATATATGTATATATTGTGTTGTATCTGTTCATATAAGTGTTAGGTTAGAATTGTATTCTATATTTTTCTTTAAAAATCAATTATGATTGATATGATAAAATAGGAAAAAAGTTCGTTAGAAACTGACGAAACATGTTTATTATATTATTCATTATTTATTTTTTTTATTTTCTATATAATTTATTAAAAATTATTATTAAATTTTCTAAATCTATTTTTGATATTTGTTAATTGCATATACAAATAAACTAAAGGATTACAGACTTTAAAATAATGTTATAAAAATAAATATATGTAAGTTGAAGTATTTTCTGTTACATATGAATCAGCTGTTATCACCTGTTGTGTTAAGATATATATCGAAACGTACACAGTAAACTATAATAGGATTATTTTCTATATGTAAAATAAATCAATCGTAAAATACAATAATGCAATTATCATAATTGTTTAATGATTTATAACAGTAAAGAAATTAAAATAATTAATGTGAAAATTTTAATCATTTATTTGAATGATAGAAAATAGAAAATTTTATTCATATAATATATAATATTATAAATTTAACTAATAATTCATCAAATATATATATATTTATATATATTTAAATTATAATAAATTATTAATATTTTAAAAATATATTATAAAATTTTATCAAATCTTAAATAAAAACATGTATAGCATATAAATCTTATTAATAATATTATTTTTTGTTTCAAATCTCAAATCTTTAAATCTTAATTATCATTTGAAAATAATTTTAACTTATACACGTAAAAAATATTAAATATGAATAATTTTTTATATTTAATAAAAATTTATAAAATCAAAACAATTAAATTTGAAATGGTTTCCATAATAGATTTTAAATAAATATTTCGTTTAATTTATCAACATTATCAACATTAGAATAATGATTCTAATAGATTAAAAAATATTAGAATATACATTTAATTAATTCAACATTAAATTATGCATATTTTAAATTCCTTTAAATTATTATGATTTTTGATAGTAATAAAAATATCCGTAAAGTGGCAGCACATATGCACCTAAAATGTCCAACTGTTTCCGGCTGTAAAAGGAGTAATGTAGACTTTACATTTTGAAGCATAGTATTACAATTTGTTTAATATTTACATGTGATTATTAGTAAAATCATTATAAATATTGTAAAATTATTAATATAGATATGAATATATTCAGTTTTAATTGCATACAAATGTGAATGATAAAAACTCTGACAAAATATGTGTATGAACAGTAACGTCTTTCCATCTTGACAATTTCAGAAATATAAATAAAGGTAAATATAATTTCAAAAGAATTTTTCATTTAAAAAAAATGTTCACATTTATTAATATATGAAAGTAATTCTACTTTGTAATTTTTATTTTTTGACGTTAAAAAATGTTTAGAATATATTTTTTTCATAATGCAAATTACGTCATTTCATTATATATTAAATTTTTTGCAAATTTTATTTATTATTTGTTATATTGTTTATTTATTTTAAAATTAATTTATAATGTTATATTTTTTTGATTTAAAGAATTTTTGATTTGAGGTTAACTTTTTCATTTATTCATTAAATATTTATACATGTCATGTATCAATACAATTATTTAAAATTTTGAATTTTAAATTATATTTTAAATTATATTGTAATATTTTTATTTTATTATTGTTTTGTATATTCAATAAGTATAATAAATAATATATTCATTATTTTATATTAAAATTATAATATATTATAAATTTTTATTATTTATTATAAATTTAAAAACAAAAAAATTATACGTATTATTAAAAAATATTTCTTAATAATTACAAAACAAAATTAATATATAATGCATTTAAATATATTCATTGATAAAAAAGATTTATATGCAATAATTATTTATTAATAATTATTTAATATTAATTATAATATTAGTATTTTTTTCATTTTTCTTCATTTGAAAATTTATATAAGATATCATTTCATGCTTAAGTGTTATATTGTAAGAATTAAATATGCCACAAGGTAACTAGAATGTTAATTCTGACATTCAATATCTATACATATGGATAATACAATTAGTTTACCTTATTCAAGCTTTCATCCAATTAGTCTGTGAAAATGAGAGCAGTGGGTGACACATTGTCTGGCCACTTTATAGAAACTTTCACTGCCATTGATTTCATAATTTCTTATTTATAAAAATTTAAGACTATCTTGCATAAATTATAATGAAGTGGTTTTTATTGTTATTAATTCTACAGTTCATAATGTGGAGTGCATCAGAAGAACCACCAGGAACAATGGAAGGGGATGCACCTGAATCTATGCTACATGCAAAAGAAAAATGTGAACAAAATAAAAGTCAGTTGGAATCTTTGAAAGAAATTATGCTGAAAAATAAACAAAGTTTAAAAAAGAAAGAAGAGGAAGTTCAGGTAATAAATATTAATTTATAAAAGTTCAATGAAAAAAATTTAATTATTTTACTAAGAAAATTATAATTTAAACTTAGGAATATGCAAGGAGACTTTCTAAAATTAAATCTAGAGCTAAGTTATCGCGTCGAAATAGAGAAGGAAATTTGCCTTCTAAAGATATAACTCGTATATCTGAGACTGCTTTAACAGATACACCTGAAGAAAATATTGATGATATTAGTCAAGCAAAAACTGCAAAAGCAAAGTCTACTTTACTCCAAAAAAAGCTAGCAGAGAATAGAAAGGCTTTTGAACAACGTAATAAAGAAATAAGTGAAACTAAACGAGCAGTTGAAGAAAAAGTAGAAGCTATTAGGCAACAATTAGAAGAAAAAGATGTGACAGTAATGACTTTTCAAAAGGATCAGATATCTATTACACCTATAAAACCAGTCATGATTACTTCTGATGTTAGCAATTAATTTTTAAAATTCTTTGTCAATACCATATTATAAGTAATTATATTTAATAATTAATATTTTCATTATAGATCATGTCACCAATTCAAATAGAAAATATTCAAGAAAAAGAAAGTAAAATTACAGAACTTAATAATAAAATTTTGGAGCTTGAAGCTACAATTATGGATCTTCAGGAAAACTTAAAAGAAAAAGATTCTGTTATTGAATCTAAGACAAAGGCAGTTACCCTTATGTCTGCAGATCTTTCAAAAAAGGGTAAAACGACGTTAGACACTCTAGAAGATACAAAAGACGAAATGCGAACAATGCAGGAACACTTTGTACTTTTAGAGACATCTTTGAAAAATAAAAACGAAAATCTCTTAATGCAATTGCAAGAAAGAGATAATAAAATTACAGAACTAGAACATTCAATTGACGGGTAATTTTATATATAAGCTTTTTAAAATTTTTATTCTTTTAATTTCTAATATTTTATTTTTTAATATTTATTTTTTTCGATTGATATATATTTATTTATCATTTATTTTTATATAGATTTAGGAAACAGATTAATGAGCAAAAATTATCTGAGACTGCCAGTGTCGATTTCTCTCGTTCTACCATGGATACTTTGATAGAAACTAAAGAAGCTATGAAATCAATGCAAGAAAATTTTGTACTCATGGAATCTTCACTTAAAGCGAAAAACGACAATTTGTTGGAACAATTGAAAGATTATGAGTTAAAATTAGCAGAAGCTAATGAACGAGTCTTTAAACTTGAATCTGGTATTGGAATAGTCAGAGATCCAACTGTTGATGATTTGCAATTCAAATTAGAAAAGTTGGAACATAATAATAAACAATTGCAAGATGAAAAATATGAGTTACAAAAAAGCGTTGCAGAATTACAAGATAAAATTGTAAATATATCTATGCATGGTAATGGTGCAATAATAGAAAAAGATAATAGAATAATTGAACTTGAAAATTTAGTAGAAGAATTAAAACAATCTAATAAATTTCTTGAAGAAGAATCTAAAGCAGAATTACAGAAACAAGTAGCGGATTTAACTTTAAAAAATGAAGAGTATTCAAATAAAATAACTGATCTTGAAAACTTAGTTCATAAACTTGAAGAAGAAAAAAATGAAATTGCAGCGAAGTTACCAGAAGAGGACATTATTAAAGAAGATGAAAAAGTCGCAAAACTTACTAAGGAATTAGAAGAATTGAATAAAAATATGATCAAAATTAAAGCAAAACATAAAAGTAAAGTAAAAAGTTTACAACAACAATTGGAAAATTTTAAAAAGGCAAGATTTGTTAAGATTTGTTATTATTATTTATAAGATGAAAGATTTATTATTAATTTCGAAGTTTTTAAATTAATTTTCGGTTGAAAACATAAATAATTATTAAATTATAACAGCAATAAAATATATGTAATTTTGTGATTTATAGATATCCGATACAAATGCGGAACTTGTCAGATTGGGGAATCAAGTGGCATTATTAGAGGAGGAGAAAGGTAACCTTCAGCTGAGTCTGGTAGACTTTGACGAGCTTAAAGGTAGGAACCAGGACAGAAATTCTGTCATTGCTGTTTCCATTGTTCTAGTTATGTTATTCATTGTACGTGCAATGCATTGTCTGTTTATATATATTATTCTTAAAATAATTATCTACAGTCCCGTTTTTCTGATTGCGGAGAAATTTCAATTTATGTACATAAATATACATATACATATTTAATAATATATAAAAGAGATTTTATTAAATATTTTAATAATTGATTTTTATCGATATAAAATAAATTATTAATATCTTTTTTATTATTACTTTTTCTATAAAAGGAATACTGAGAAAATTATAATTATGCTAATTTCTGGTGATGGAATCTTTTTACTTGATTAATTAGATATTCGTTCTAAATCAAAATATTTATTGAGTATTATAATATACTAATCAATTATATTAAATTTTTTAACATAACATGGTACCTACTTTACTTGTCAAAGTTTGCTACACTCTGATATAAAATTAAATATATTTTATTAGCAGATATTTATATTTTGTATATTTTTTTACATTTTAATATTTTAATATAGTTGACTTACTTGCATGAAGAGTTAGAAAAACTTTTGCTTTTTTTCTTTTAAATCATTTGCCTTATATAATTTATATTATTGGTATCATATGAAACGATTTTATTATATGACTTACAATATAAATATTATTTAGATATATAACAAATAAATGAATGATTATATTAATAATAAAAAAAAATTATATTTGCTTTGGGAATCTGCTTGCTGAATTAATTGGTTTCACATATTAATCATGCTTATTGCAAGATAAATTAATCCTTGGATAACAATAATTATAAAAAAATTAAGCTTATTATAATATAAATTTATTTGTAACATTTAAGTTTTGCTTGCTTTTGCATTTATTATCAATTAATATCAATTATACATACATCATTGGCATGTTGTACGGTTTGCATAGCCTCAGCAGGAGATTGGCAAGAACGTGTTGTTGATCTTGAAAGTAAAGTTTCTGCTCAAACGAAAGAAATTGAAATGCAAATTGAAGCCATTGCTACTCTAGAGAATCAAAAATTGGATCTTTTGCAAGGTAATTTATGTATTTTCTAACATAACATGGTACCTACTTTACTTGTCAAAGTTTGCTACACTCTGATATAAAATTAAATATATTTTATTAGCAGATATTTATATTTTGTATATTTTTTTACATTTTAATATTTTAATATAGTTGACTTACTTGCATGAAGAGTTAGAAAAACTTTTGCTTTTTTTCTTTTAAATCATTTGCCTTATATAATTTATATTATTGGTATCATATGAAACGATTTTATTATATGACTTACAATATAAATATTATTTAGATATATAACAAATAAATGAATGATTATATTAATAAATAAAAAAAAATTATATTTGCTTTGGGAATCTGCTTGCTGAATTAATTGGTTTCACATATTAATCATGCTTATTGCAAGATAAATTAATCCTTGGATAACAATAATTATAAAAAAATTAAGCTTATTATAATATAAATTTATTTGTAACATTTAAGTTTTGCTTGCTTTTGCATTTATTATCAATTAATATCAATTATACATACATCATTGGCATGTTGTACGGTTTGCATAGCCTCAGCAGGAGATTGGCAAGAACGTGTTGTTGATCTTGAAAGTAAAGTTTCTGCTCAAACGAAAGAAATTGAAATGCAAATTGAAGCCATTGCTACTCTAGAGAATCAAAAATTGGATCTTTTGCAAGGTAATTTATGTATCTTTTTTTTTTTTATTTTTTTTGTATTATATGTTTTATATGTGAAATTAATATTGAATTTCAAATTAGAAAAAAATTTTTTTAAACGAAAAAAAAAAATGAAGTTAATTATTCAACGAATATATAATCTTTATTTCAGAGCTTCATATGGCGAAGCAAGAAATCTCGTCTTTAGAGGCGGAAAATGCAGAATCTGAGAATCTTAGAGTAACTGCAGAAATAAAAGTCGTTGATCTTGAAGAACAATTAGAAGCTATGCATAGAATGCAGAATGAAAGTAAATTAGAATCTTCATCAGAGGTTAATTCTGCGGAGTTAATTAAACAAGTGGAGACTTTAACACAAGAAAATACCGAGTTATACAATAGAATATCGAAATTCGAAGAAAAAGGGGCATCTGATACTGGATCTACTGAATCATTTGAAGCTATACAAGAATTGGATAAAACTGATTTGTTGAAAAAAATCGAAGATTTAACACAGAAAAATAATGAATTAACTCTTAAATTGAATAAACTTCAAGAGAAAGAAAATTCGCATGCTGATTCCATCGAATCTATGAATAACATCGATAAAAATGAATTATTAAAGAAAATTGATCAATTAACACAAGAAAATACCGATTTAACAATGAAGTTGAATAGAGTGGAAGAGAAAGGTTCCTCGGATACGGGTTCGACTGAATCTTTTGAACGAATACCAGAAAATAATGAGAGTATGACAAAAATTGAGCTCCTTACACAAGAAAACAGCGAACTTGTAATTAAACTTACAAAACTTGAGGAACAATTAGAATATATCGAATCTAAATCAGATATTGATTTGAAGTTAAAGATTGATACTTTGGAGCAAGAAAATGATAATCAATCTGTAGAATTATCGAAACTTAAAGTTCAAGTAATGGATTTCATCGAAGAAAATAATAGATTGCATAAAGAAATTGAAATGTTGTCTATAAACAATACCGATTTAAGCATTGAGCCAGATAAATTAGAAGTTCAAATCGAAACTAAACAATCCGAAATATCTGAAGTATCGAAAAGGGATGTTGATTTCAAAACACAAATTAATATATTGATGGAAGAAAAAGATCTTTTACAAAAAGAGGTAAAAGAATTACGTAATTCATTGGAACAGTGGCACGACAAAAATCAAGATCTTCAAATCAATGATTTGAAAACTAAAATAGAAGAATTGTTAAGAGAAAACGAAGAAGTAGTTACAAAAATATCAGAACTTAAAACCTTTAATCAAAAATTAGAAGAAAATATAACAAAAATTACAGAAGAAAAAGAAGAATTACATTTAAAACTTAATCAAATGTTGGATTCTAATAATGACATTAATTTAAAACTTATCGAAAAATTAGATAAACCGAATCTTGAAGAACAGAATATTCAAGAGAAGGAAAAACAACTCGATGAACAAGTTAGTGCTCCTTTGGAAAAATCTGATCAAGAAGTACTTAAAACACCGCAATTGGATGAACCTTCGTCTCAACAAACAGAATCGATGATCGTTGCTTCTTTGGAACAGGAGATAGAAAAGTGCAAAAATTTGATCGCAGAACAAACAAGTCTAATCGAAGAAATGAAAGTAAAATTAGCAAACAAGGAAAAAGAATTGGAAGAGAAAAGTCAACGGATCGTTGATTATGAAAAATCTGGGAAGAAAGTCGAAACCTTGGAAAACGAATTGAAAGAAATGTTCAGTACCGTAGAAGAATGGAGATATAAATGCAATGAAATGGAAGAAAAAATGGAGAAATTGGAAGTAGGAAAAGCATCCATCGAAGAAAAATTCAGAATATTACAAAACGAAAATAAAATATTGTTAGAGGAAAATAAAGAGAAAGATGCAGAAACTGTATTACTGAAAAAACAATTGCAGGATACAACGGTGACATTTGAATCGAAGCTTCAAAACCAAATTTCAATAGTCTCTGAAAAAGAGAGTGAAATTATTAGATTGAAAGAAACTATCGAGGAAAAAGATCAAGAATTACAAGCCAAATATACGGTGCTCCAAAATAAAATGATTACGATAGACAGTTTGCAAGATGAGTTTAACAATTGTAAAGTATTAATCCAAGAGAAGGATTCTTTAATAACATCGATGACCAACGAGGTTACAAATCTGTTTAACCTGGTAAAAACTAAGGAAGAGGAAATATATTCTTTGAGGAAAAATATTGCCGAATTGAGTGACAAAGTAGAGGAGTCGGTACCCGTGAAAGATTATAACGATTTGGTGGAAAAATTGAAGGATAAAAATATGATTTTGGACGAGCTGGAGTGCAGGATTAATGCAACCGCAAAAGAGAATAGTAACCTATCGGAAAAAGTGAAAAATTTGTCGCAGCAAAATAACGATATTCAAAATCAATTAACGGAGAAGCAACGGGAAATTGTTGATTTAATAACAACGAAAGATCATCTAGAGGCACAAATTGCGGAATCCAAAGGCGAGAAAGGTGAAGTCGAAAGGCGAGTCTGGGAGTTGCAGAGCATTATAGACAATAATACAAAGTTCGTCGACGATTTGCAAGCGGAATTGAGGAGCAATTATAAGCAGATGGAACAATTGAAATTGAAGCATACCGAGGACACGCAACTGCAAAACCAAAGGCTCGAAAATGCGATCGAAGAATTGGCTGGGAAAATGCAAGAATGCGAGATATTGAAGGAGGAGTTGGAGCAGAAGGAGAGATTGATCGGTCGCAATGTAACCGAGGAGGTTAAAGTCGCTTTGGAGGCTAAGGTTGCCGATTTGGAGAAAAAGTTGAAAGATTCCGAGGAGAAGATACAAACGCAATTGGAAAAGATGAAGAAGATTGCGGCCAATTTGAAGAAGAAGACGGCTGTGTGCCAGGAGCTTGAGACCAGGGTTGCCGAGCTCGAAGAGAAATGGACGACCGAGAAAGACGAGAAAGAGGCCAAGAACAAGCAAATTCAAGACGTGGAGATCGCGATCCGCGAGAAGGACAACAGGATAGCCGAACTCGAGGAGAAACTGGCCCAATCCAGGAACGAGTCCGCGCAAGCTTCAAAGAATGTCGAGAAATTGACCACCGATTTAACGAACTCGAAGGAGAGGATGAGCTCGCTCACTCAACAAATTACAGAGATGGAGGAGGAAATTGTTAAGTTACGGGCGGATGTCGAATCTTCCACGGCCGATCTTACCACGGAGAAAGAGAGCAGGCGGGATATATTGTCCGAGTACGAATCTTACAGGCAGCGAGTCGTCGAGGAGAACGAGCGCAAGCAGTTGGAATTGGAGGAGATGAAGGAGAAGGCGAGAGAGCTTAGCGTGAGAATGCAGGTTATGGAGGCGGAGTACGTGGAACACCTCGCGTTGATTAACGATCTGAAGGCCGAGAACGGCCTCTTGTTGTCGAAGCAAGCGCATATAAACGAGAAATTGGAGACGGTGGAGAAAGAGTCGGAGGAGAGGCGATTGTTGCTCGAGCGGATGGAGAAGAAAACGGTGGCCAACACCCGGGCTGAAACCACCACCCAGACCCAGGAGGAGGAGGAGGAGGAGGAGGAGGAGGCGGCGGCGGCGGCCACGAACGAGGACGATACGATGAAAATGAGCGGGGCGCAACGTTGCAGCCATTGCGAGCAATGCCAGACGTTGGTCCAAGCGTTGGAGGCGAAATTGCAAGAGCGGGAGGCCGAGATAGAGAACTTGGACAACGAGTTGGCGAACTCGATTGGCAATTTTGTCCAGATGAGGGAATCCCTAAGGTTCAACGACCTTATGATGAACCAGACAGGTATGAGGAACAGAACGCTCGAGGATCCGTACAACGATCTTTTATTCCAGTACAACTCGTTGGCGTCGAGTCACGAGGAGGCGAAGGTAAATTTGGAGAGAGCGTCGAAAGAGAACGAGGAATTGAGGGAGAGGATCGACCAGTTGAGCTCCGCGAATGCCACTCTGGAGGAGAAGGTAATCAGAAGCGAGCAGATGTTGGAGGACAGTAGACGGAGCGTGGAAAGGTTGGAGAACGTGGATGCGTTCAACTCTGATCTGGTTAAAAAGTGGGAGGAACGGGGGGAAGAATTGTTGAACGCGCGGCGGGAAATGGAAATTGTCCGGGAACGAGGGGATGAGCTGGAGCGACGATCGATAGAATCCCTCACGGAGGCGCGGAGAGAGACGGCAGAGAAGTCGTTGCAAGAGACGAGGCACAGGTTGGAACGGGAGATCGAGTCTCTCAGAATGGAGAAAGACTCGAGCGAGAGGAGGATAAAAGATTTAGAAACGGAGTTGGACGCGTACAGGAACAAGAGTACGGCAGAATCGACGAGCGTGGAATTATCCGTTCGGGATAACGTCCCTCGATTGTTCGACGCCTCGAGAATCTTTGGCAGCGCGCCACCCGATTCCGATCCCGACAAGGAGGTGAAGAGATTGCAGAGTTTATTGGAGGAGAAGGAGGCGCGATGCTCCAATCTGAGCCAGGAGATCGATCGGTCGAAGAGGACGATGGTCGAGGACAGGGATCGACTGATCGAGCAATTGAAACTCTCTCGAAATGAGTTAGACGCAGCGCGAGCCGATTTGGAGAGGGCGGAACAACTGTTGGCCGAGAGAGAGAAACAGATCGACTCGTTGAACGTTGAGTTGCTTAACTCGAGCCGTCGAACAGCCGAGGAGGATAAATTGAAGGAATCGTTGTCGGCCAAAGACGATCAATTGAGGGAATTGAACGCGAGCCTGACCTCTGCGAAAGAGAGGTTGGACGAAACGATCGCCGAACGAAATCAACGAGATTCCCTTCTACGTTCCTACGAGTTACAGTTGAACAATTTAGAGACGGAGTTGAAAAATTCCACCGACCTCGAGGCGATCCAGGAGCTGGAGAAGCGCGTCCTCTCGCTCACCAAGGAGAGGGATTTGCTCCAATTGCAGGTAAACGATTTGACCAGATCGATGGAGGAGTTGAGGGACGACTCGATGAACCTTGGGCGAAGCTTGCACACCGAGATCGAGAGAGTTGGCCGTGAAAGGGACGAGGCCAAAGAAACGATCGCCGATCTCAGCCGAGCGTTGGACGAGGCCTGTAAAACGACGACAGACGCGTCAACCAAGGAGTCCACCCCGTCGGAACTGAAGGGGGATACGGAGAAACTCGCCACGGAGGAGAACGTGTCTTCTCTGAGTATCGGCGAGGGGGCGTGGGATGCCGGCTCGACGGAGAGGATCAACGTCGACGAGGAGATTTGGGGATGGAGCGCGGAGGACGCGCAGCTGGCGAGCGAAGCCACGACAACGTTGATCCCGATGAACGCGGAGATGCAGCTTCGAGCCAGGGTGGAGGATCTTCAGGATCGGGTCAAAGATTTGGAGGAGGAGAGGGCGAGGATGGCGGAGGAAAATAAAGCGGCTCAGTTGAGGAACGCGAGGATGATAAAGAAGTTGAAGGAGTACAAGGTGCAGGCGGAGGGCCTGCAACGGCAATTGAAGATACAGAGGTCGGCCACCGACGGATTGGATTCGGCGATCGAGGAGGAGTTGAGGTCGCAGATCGACAGATTGGAGAGGAATTTGAACGAGGTTAAGGAGGAGCGGAGGAGCGCGATGGCCGAGAAGGAGGCGTTGATCAAACGGTTGGACGTTGTCGTCTCCGCGAACGAGAGATACATGGAGATGAAAGAGAGGCAGGACATGGATATGGAGGTACTTCGTATTCGAAACAAAGAGTTGTCGGACAAGGTAGAAATTCTGGACAAACGTTTGCAGGGGGGGAGGAACTCGTCGTTTCGGCTCGAGGATCCCCCGTCGAGCGAGGGAGTCGAGGCCGAGGAGGTCGCCTTCGCCAGGGGGAACGAAGTTCCGCCGAGGAAACGAAGGATTTCGAGAGTTTGTCGAAGAAGTACAAGGAGGAGATGGACGATCTCAAGGACGAGATGGAGGCGCTCGCGACGGAGAACGAGCAACTTCAACACTTCCTCGAGGAGCAAAAGATCAAGTTGTCCGCCTTAGAGTCGAAACGTAGCGCCGAGGAGGACGAGTCCATCCAGATCGTGGACGAGTTAAACGGGAAAATTTCTGAATTGCAGGCGGTGTTGAGTAAATCTAGGGAGGAGTACGATCTGTTGAGGAGGCAATACGAGCAAAGCTTGATGGACGCTAACGATCAAGTAACGGCAATGAGGCAGAACGCCGATTACCTGAAAGAGGAGGCTTTCGAGAGGACGGGCAAATTGGAAATGGAGATAGCCGGTTTGCGCCAACAACTCGAGGCTTCCGAGGCAAACGTTGCCGAGTTGCGAAAGAGTTTGGAGAGCGTTTCGCGGGAAAAATTAACTGTGGAGGAAAGGTTAACGGAATTGACGGCTTCCTCCGAGAAACGAGTCTCCTCTTTGAACGCATCCATGTTGGAGGTGACCGATCTTTTGAATATCAGGATACAAGAGGTGGCCGACTTGAAGCGAGAACTTCAGAAACAGTACGTGGACAACGAGGAAGCGAAGATGAAATTGCAGAATACCGTGCACGAGTTGAATCGAGAATTCGACGAGAAGAGGCAAGAAATGGAGAGTTTGAAGAGATCGTTCAGCGAGAAGGAAAAGGAATTTATCGAACGGCAGAGCGTGGAAACGGTGAGCGCTCTGGTCGGCCAGGCGACCCAAGAATTGATGCAAAGACACGCGATAGAAATCGAGGAGAGGGAGAAACACTTGCAAAATCTTAACGAGAGATTGTCCACGTTTGAAGCAGCTATGAACGAGTATTTGCTCGAGAAGCGGAACAACGTTGCCCAACTCGACGCCCAAAGACAAGAATTGGACGTTTTGAGGCAGAATTTAACGGAGAAGGAATCGAATTTGGCATCCGTTGGAGAGAGATTCACCTCGATGGAGAAACAATTGGCCGAGAGAGCGTTGGTGTTGTCGGAAAGGGAGGAAACGATTCGGAGATTGTCGTTGGAGAATCAGAGATGCGTGGAAACTATCGAGGAGCTAAGTAAACGTTTGAACGAGTCCGCAGCAACCTCTGCGAACGAGTATACTCTGCGTGTTCAAATTTTGGAGCAGGAGGTGGAAAACGCGAGATCTCTCCTAGACGAGAAAGAGGCGATGTTGCGAAAGAACGCGCAACAGGCGGCAGAGTATAGAGGAATCGTAGAAAGAAACAGGATCGAATTGAGCGAACTTCGTACGGAGGCGCAGAAGGTTGAAGATTTGAAGAGGGAATTGTTGGGGAGGGGCGAGCAATTGAACAGTTTGAGCTCGGAGCTGGAGGCGACCCGTAAAGTTTTGGAGGAAACCAGGCAGAATTTGAACGAAAAGATATCCCTTCTCGATCAAACTAATCGGTTGTTGAACGAAAGACAAACGGAAATCGATAGATTGTCCAGTTTGCAACAACAACAACAACAGGATCGACGTAATTCCACCAACATGATAGACGGTTTACCTGTGTTCAGAATGGGGCAGAACGAGGAGCAAAATTTACAGCATACCATAGACAATATGCAGGTTGAACTTGAGAAGAGGCAGGAAGAGATCGAGCATTTGAAATATATTCTTAACGAGAACACGTATCCGGGTATAATTCAAGAAATGCAACAAAGGATCAATTGTTTGTACAACGAGAAGGCGGAGTTGGAATCTTCATTGGTGGCGATCAATGCAACGGCCGAGGAAAAGGAGAAGCAAATCCACGCTTTGGAGCAACGTATCGAGGCCGGGCAAAGCCAGGAATACGTTTCCAAAGAAGAGGCGAGTCTTCGTTCCAGGGATCGAAGATCGATCCAGGAACAGGAGCAAATTGTCAGGCTTCAGAATGAGTTGTACGCCAAGGAGCAAGAGATCAACGAGCTCAAGTACGTCGTAGCTGAAAAAGAGTCTCAGCTGTCTGTCCAAGCCAGCATGGAGCCTCAATCGGACGAATTTGAACTGCGCGAGATGGTTCAAAGATTGACTGCCGAGTTATACGGTAAGGAAGAGGAAATTAAACACGTGAAATTAACGATTGTCGAATTGCAGAGGGAGGTATCTCGTTTGCAAGAGTTCGAAACACTTTCGGAACAGACCAAAGACGCTGTGCAGAAGCTTGACGCGGAGAAGGAGCAGATTCGTTTGGAGGGCGAGGAATTCTTGGAGAGGAAGCTGAAAGAGAAGGAAATGGAGATCGATGAGATAAAGCGAAACTTGGCTATGGAGAATAAAAAAATCTTGGACGAGTTATCGTTCAGCAATAGAGACATTGAAAATCTGAGAGGTCAGTTGATGGAGTTGTCCACGACTGGGCAAAGAGCGAAGGATGAATTGCTCCGCAAGGAAGAGGATCTGATGCGGGTAAATTCTGACTTGGCTGAGAAGGAACGAAGATTAGCCGAGTTGAGCATTACCAAAGATGCAGAGCTTCACAATTTGAAGATACAAATTTACGAGAAGGACGCGCGTATAGAGGAACTCGTGTCGTTGTACGAGGAGGGAGAGAGGAGATTTACCGAATTGAAAAATACATTGGCGGCCAGAGAAATCGAGATCAATTCGTTGAAGACACTTTTAGAGGATAAAGTGAAGGAGTATCAATTAATACAAAGCGTTTTAAAGAAAGACGTGTCTGTCCTCGATACTTCTACAACCCCAAACACGGAAGCCTCTGATGAGAAGAGTAAAGCTTCCACGTCGCAGGAATTGGATCTCGCGTTGTACATGCTTCATCAAAGAGACGTGAGATGCGAGGAATTGACGCACGAATTGATGCAGTTACTCGAAGAACGCGATACGTTGCAATTACGCCTCTCTAACGCGATCAGGGTTAACGAAGACTTGAGGAAAGGTACCTTAACGAATGTAGAGTTCAGCCCGAAAAAGGAGGCGTCCGCTTCTGAAGGCACTGTGGAGCCAATTGTAGAACATCCTTCACCATCCAAGTCCGAGGGACCAGTCGAGATAGCCAAAGAAGCTATTGACGCACCGATTGGGGAAAACAAGGAAATCCTTGCCCAAAAGTACGTACTTATTCGCATCTTTCTGTATCGATTAAAATTTCTCAATAACATGGATGTGACTTAGGAAGGAATGCTAAATGTTAAATATTTGAATTAAATTTTTTTTTTTTTTTACAATAATTGTAATATTCAAAAATATAGTTTATTTTGATTTCTTTTTTTATTTGATTATGGAAATTATGGATTATAATTGAAAAATTGGTCGTAATCGGGAAATATGATAATTTCACAGATTGAGAAAATATTATTAGATTAATTCTTTTCTTTTTATTGACAAAGGTAACATATTTTGTTTCTAGTATATACCATCTTGTATACCATCTTTATACATGTATAAACTTTTCATTTATTTTTTTTGATGAGTTGTTTTTTGATAGTTTCTTACAAAATAACATTATTATTCAACAAAAGAATCTTCTAAAGTATGCTAATTAAAGGATTACGCATTTGTTTAGCCCCTAAGATTGCTTAGCGCGTAGCAGATCCGGAAACAAGCTTTCCAAGTTGATTCATCCTTTCCTCTGTAGCCCTGTACGATTTGTTAATGTTGTTCGAAGCTCTGCACCAATTAATCCGAACAAGATAAATTTTTTCATTTAAATATGAATTCTTTTCAAGAAACGAACGCGTTTTTTGGAGTTCCTGCTACTTCCAGAACGTTAGAGATTCAAAGGTTTGATGAACAAAATTTTCTTTTAGATCTCTTTTTCTATAATTATACGTACAATGAATATAATATTGAATAAAGAATAATAAAATAAATGTGTAAAAATGAAAAAAAGAAAGCATAAAAATTGTACTTTTAACGAGTTTAGGAGTTCAATTTGATATGTTCACGGATCAACTAGGTGTAAAGATATAAGCTGTTTATAAAAGCTTTAAATACTCGGTGGTAGACTTGAAAGAATTAACTTATCATTATTCCTTGGCAGAAAGACAGCAGTATTAAGACATATTGATCAGTATTATAGTAAGCTTCTTGTTCTATTGTATAAGCTAGTTTTCCCTTCAGGCTGTCACAACTGCAAACGGTGAGCCATTCAAAAGATGTGCGATTGAGGGATGAACGAGAGTTGAGACACACACAGCAAATGTCTTTACTAGCGCACAAAGACGTTTTAAGTACTTTACCCCCTGAAGCAGCTGCCAGACTCGTCAATGCAAATTACACACTCTGTATGTATCTTCAATTTTCATCTTATTCTTCAGAGTTTTATGTAATAGTATGTAGAAATACTTGGTTGGCTTTGTAAGTGTTTTTTGTTACATAACTAAGCTTTTCAAATCTCAATTGAATAGAATATATGTCTAGTTTGAAGTACTTTACCCCCTGAAGCAGCTGCCAGACTCGTCAATGCAAATTACACACTCTGTATGTATCTTCAATTTTCATCTTATTCTTCAGAGTTTTATGTAATAGTATGTAGAAATACTTGGTTGGCTTTGTAAGTGTTTTTTGTTACATAACTAAGCTTTTCAAATCTCAATTGAATAGAATATATGTCTAGTTTGTAAAAAAAATAAAAANAAAAAAAAGAAATTTTTACTTAGAAATTTTAAAATATGTTAAAAATGCGTAGATTGTAAATTTATTGATTTTGTGTTTACAGCTAGGGATGTCCAGAGTCAATCGAGTGTTTTGTTAAATTGGCTATGGGGAAAAAGGTAAACGTATATAACATTAATATTAATATAAAGAATAATACTTGAATAATACTTGAATTAAAGAGAAATAATAATATTGAAATTTTATTATAAAATGTTTTTTTAAAATTTTAATACGTATTTAAAAGATATTTTTAGTGAAGTATTATTTCAACATAATGTTAAAATAATTCAAACAAATTGCAGTACACCAAAAGTGGTACATATGTGATGGAATACTAATGATGAGGTGAGGTGGACACTATCCTTGCCTTCTGGATACATTCCTGCCAAGTGCCAACTGCCGAGACTATTTCTGTAATTAAACTAAATCGAACAAGTGAAAAGCAATTGAAAATTTTGATTAATTCGTCGACACATTGTGAAAGCATCGACGTGATTAAAAAATGTGATTCACGTATTATATTGTCGTTCACTTCCTCAAAGGGTTCTAAAAAGTCACTCCTCTTCAGAGAAGAAGAGAATGTGAGGAGAGGACTTAATTGTATTATAATCATTGTATAGTTGTCGTGTTTAGATGAATTATATACGAAAGAAATTGCCTTAAAGAAATGTATATTTCAGTTATTTTATTAGCCATGAAATTGTTAATAGGGCGTAAGATGTTTCTTGGGTATCGAGATTTGATATTCGATACAAATGTATTTGTTCCGATAATAATTCCTTTTAATTTTTGCAAATTTTTCCGTTTACCACTGGTCTGTTATGCAAATTATCTGTGATTTGTCAATTATTTAATGGCACGAATATTTCTATAAAATGTTATCGATTGAATCGAAAGAATAAATTTCTAACGAAAAAGTTGACAAATCATACGATGATTGAAACTTAATATTTTAATTGTGAAAATAATTTTATCATTGGAAGTGCCGTAATTATTTGTTGCTTTTTAAATATGATGATTCGAACTTTCTATTTCCACGAAATATTTTGTACAGAAAAAAGAAAGCGTCGTTGAATAAATAAATTATGAAACAGAAATATTCATTTATTAAAGTGTTTTTATTGTTAATTAATGTAATATATTTTAATTAAATGAATAAATATGCATGTATTAGGTTACAAATGTCGTAAATTGAATCGATATATGTAAAAAGGATATAGATATAAGATATAAACAATAGAAGATTCGTATTTTATCAGTATCACTATCCAACATGAATGAAATGAGATACTAATATTAAAAAAAAAAAGATAAAATGATTTTATTTCATACATTCACTCAATTATCATTTAATATCAATATTTTGTAAAACGTTTTAAAAATTATGATTGTGAATTATTTACAAATGTATTGAATCATGATTTTTTCCCAAAGTACAACAAACTTATTTAACAAGCGGTACTTTTAACTTTAGAAAATTTTCATTCTATCATTGTTATCCTATAAACGATATAATGCTCGTGTATATCGTATGGATCACATTTGAATAGAAGAATAAAGAACGAGATTATACGAGGTAAAAACTTCGTATGTGTTTCACTTCATAAATATATGAACAAATATTATAATATCATTGATATTTTTGACCATGAGAATTCGATTAATATAATAAATTTTTATAATAATTAAAAGAGGTTTAATCCTCGTATATTTCGTTCGAAAATGTCAATTTATTTGTTTATGCTTGGACATATCATTTGGTCTCGTATTTGTTATAACGTTATACATAGGAAATGATTGTTCGTTACCGTTTGTACTGTATGCAACTTCTTCGTGATCATTCTGGTATTCAGGATTATCTAAATTGTTCGAGTTACCTTTTCCACACTTTAAAGCGAATAATGTCATTATACCAACAACGAAAAGACCAAAAATAATGGACATAACTGCAATTGCTGGACCAGAATGCTCTTTCAACTGTTCAGTATTCGTATAAGCGAGTGCTAATGGATTGTCTTCGTACCAACTGGTCCAAGTGTTATTCCAAAGCGATGGATTCGCTCTAGGATCTCCATCTAAATTACTAGGAGGTATCACGGTTAATCTGTATTTCATTAGAATTCTTTCCAGAATAGCCATAATCATTGGTCTTTTTTCAGCAAGATTCACCATTTCGCAAGGATCTTTTTCTATGTTAAAGAGACACGGTGCTGTCATTGGTTCACAAGGTATCTATGGCAAAATTATAAAGAATTTTTAAAGATTTTATCTTAAATAGAATATGTTATAAAGTTTATTATAAATTATATGTGTTTCTTTTATTTATTAAGAAAGATAATAAAATATGATGTAAGATAAATTCTTATAAAAAATAATTTGTATTTAATTGTAATACTAACTCTATCTTTCTCTTTGACGTTGCATTTTATTTGCGCTTTTCTTCGCAATTCGGAAATATTTTCAACACTTAGTATCTTTTCCTCAAAATTAGTTTTTAATGCAGTATCATATATTTTCACGCTTCTTTTTCTTCTTTCTTCTTTCAATTCCATCGCTTGTTTAGCAGTAATAATACCAGAAATAGCAACACCAGTTTTGCTGTACAATATTTTATGAGGATCGTATTGCGGAGAAATGCCTTCGGATGGATCTCCACTTGCTCCAAGCCAAGCACTACCAGTTTCTGTTCGACCGATAATGTATTTGAAATCACCTCGTCTGAAAGCAGCATAATCACTAAGATCGTCGATATTCAGCATTACTTCGGATCTGGAACTGATTTTGTTCAACACCAAGGCCGACCAAAGATCATATCCATCGATGTTGCCAAGTTGCCTTCTATCTACTCCTGAAAAGTACACGAAGAAAGGAATTTAAATTTCTTTAATGAACTTTTCCTTCCATTTTAATTAAATAAGCTACGCTAAAGTTATTGATGCTTTTAATATTATTTCATCAACCTGCTGCAGATAGAAGCGTAGGAAGCCAATCGGACATAAACATCATTTGATTAGAGACCCTTTTGGATTTCTTAATTAGAGGACTCCAAATAGCTGCAACTCCTCTCGTTCCACCTTCCCATGGACTATTCTTTATCTGAAAATTATTCAGATTTTAAATCTGTTCGAAATTAATATAAAAATATTAACGACTGAAAAATATATTTACGCCTCGAAGAGGATAATTGCTGCCCTCGTTACTCAATAAACCTTGGCTTGGTGCACCGTTGTCGCTCATAAAAACTACTATACTGTTCTCCAACATGCCGCGATTTCTTAGCGCATCCATCACATCACCCACGCTTTGATCCAATTTTGATACAACAGCTTTAAATCAGAGCATTTGAAATTAGAAGAAAATGTTCCTATTTTAAGATACGTAAAGTAAAATATTTATTTTTCAGAGAGATTTTTCAACGTTATCCAAAAAAAATTGCTTATTCTTTTAATTCTTTTAAAATAGGATTTTAACTATTCTACTAACCTGCTTGAATTCTTCTTTCAGGATCAAGAATGTACGAAAATTTGGCAATCTCTTCGTCGGGTGCTCGAAACAGTTGTTCTTCGTTTCCTTTATGAGGAGCTAAGTGAGCCAGGTATAGAAACATTGGTTGATCGATATTGTGCTCATTAATTAATCGTACTGCTTCGTTCGTGAACAGATCTGTAGAGTATTTTCCTACGGTGTCCCATGCAACTGTGAGATTTCGCCTCATGTCAAACCCTTTATACTCGCTGTATACCGGATCCTGAGAGAATTATCATTATATAAAACTGATTTCATCAATTCATAAACATAACGTGTAACATAATAAAATTCAAAAGACTAATTTCAATTAATATATTCACAGGTTCTTGCGTGATATGCGTGTAATAATCCTGAAGACCGTTCCAATACCCAAAATGTGAATCGAATCCACGATAAGTCGGAGTGTATTCTTTCTTAAAATATCCTAGATGCCATTTCCCAACAGCGTGCGTTTTGTATCCCACTTCTCTCAAATACTGTAATTAAGTAATATTGAATTAAACAAAACTTCTTCTGTTCATAAATAAAGGTATAATACCTCTGATTGTGGACATAAAAATGAAGAAAAATCACGTGGCCTGATCGATAGAGGAACGTACCTCGGGCAAGAGTTTCTCGCTTAGGGGAAGCCCTCGCGGTTCGGCTGGGAAGAGCACAGAGTGTTGCATGCCCAGATGAATTGGATTTTTTCCTGTCATCAAAGCCGATCTGCTTGGAGTGCATAATGCGGGGACGTAATGATTATTTAAGATGATACCATTGTATGCAAGGGCGTCGATGTTGGGCGTGGGGATTTGATCCGATCCGTGAAAGCTTACGTCGTTCCAACCCTGTTTCGTTGCACACGAATTTAAATTTTAACATGATATTTTTCATTCGATAAAAATTTTTACAAGAGTACAAATATAAGATAAAGACAATTCTAAGCAATAACAAAATAAGAAAGAAATTCACCAGATCATCGGCGAGAATGATGACGATGTGTGGTTTCTGTTTAGCAGTCGATGGTTGGTATTTCGGCTTCGTTTTGGATTCGGTTAAGAAGGATGAGAAAAAAATGGCAGCCATGCTCGTTGCTATTATCTCCGAGAGGAATAGCACTATTAAAAACTGCGCTATCGTGGCAGGATTCATTTCGGAACAAGCTGAAAAAAAAAAAATGCATTTATCGATTAAAATTTTAGTAATTTACAAAATAACTAATTCAACAATTTCAATCGTGATTGTTGTATCTACGCTTCGTAAAACCGATTATTCCCTGAATTGGAAATATAAAATTTATTAGAAAATTAAATTAAATCGATGAATTTAATACCCGAGAGCTTTTGTTAAAGCTTCTTTTCCGTTTTTTTTTTTTTTTTTATTAAAAGATGCAATTACGTACTAATTTCGTGTCTCTCGATGAGACGACCAAAGAAGCATTGAAGTATTTTCTTATAATATTCTTCTGAGAAATCTTGGAAACAGTGAAAGAAGGATGAGAACGCACGAATCGACCGACGTTCTCGATGCCGGAATAGCAAATGAAGTTTCAAATGGGTTTCGACAATTTTGCCTATTTTGCCTATGAATAATGGGCAATATAAGGTAATATATTTTACAAAGTGGGCTAAATCTAAAATTATAAACCTTCTATACCGTTATAAGAATCCGATACCTGATTTAAGATTTGCTTCGAGGCACACCTTGAAATTAGCGACGGGTTTAAGACGCCACGATTATTTTGTATAATAAAGCTATTACTGTGTCCAGTCACAGCTAGAAATAATTAACTGTTTCGTCGGCTATACTGTGAGAGACAGTAGTTAAGCAAACAAATGTGCGTAATAGCTTCGACTGGCCAAAAAATTATTTTCCATGTACGTGTCTAGAAGTGGCCAAAGAAAATGGTGCGATTTTTCAATGTTATTTAAAAATTTTTTCACCTCTGCATCGAACCATTTAAAAAAACCACTATTATTATATAAATTGGCGACGCAGGAAGGGATCTTTTGTGATCAGATCAAGCAAAAATAAGGACCTGGATACAAAAGAGTAGGAAAAATCCTGCTTAAACGTCGATTCACGTCGAATCTATTTATGAACAAGAAAGGAAGAAAAGTTCTCTTACGTTGATGAAAAAGGGGAAGGGCGGCTGTCACGTATCCTATTATTTGCTGCAAGTTGTCCATTTTTTCCGTTTATGCCTGAGCATCTTTCTGTCGAATCCAGAGATCCAGCTTCGTCTCCAGGTGGTGTTTAGCAACGCGAGAACCGACTGACTGGGAAACTCGAAACGTGTTGGTTTATTACCACTTTAGATTTTCCGTACAACGAACGGCGAGGAGCAAAGGGAGGATTTGGAGCATAACGAAAGTGTTGTGTGTTGGGAGAGGAAAATGGAGAAGGCGAGCACGAAAACTCGGTGTTATGTACGTGCGTGAAAATTCTGCACGTTCCTTTTAAACCGCTATGTTTTTTACTTGCAAAAAAATCTATCTCGTGGCATTCGTGAAGATGAAGATATTTAAATGATGATCATTTTTCAAATAATTGGAATTCATCTTGGAATTAATTTTTTTGTCC